TAAATTTAAAACTCTTTACTGCTAACATTGAATGTTAATACTTAAAGATCCTTAGCAAATTTAGCAATAATTTTATTCTAATGTCTTATTTTATATTATAGATTAGTTATGGCTTAGGAATGCTCAATCTTTCTAATTAGAAAATAACAAGCCTTGTAAATGAATATGATTTAAGATGGATATGTTCAAATTAAAAATAAAATGCTTTTAAAAAGGCAATTACAGTGTTTGGGGTGAAATAGGAGATAGTAGGAAAAATAAAGCTTTATAACCTGAGATAACTTGCAATTACAAAGGAGGACCCCCAATATAAAATTTATTTATAAAAAATTGTGTATTTGTTCTTACATGTTTAAGCTTTGGTTACCTTGCAATACTCTCCATTTAATGCACTGCACCTATCAAGTAACTTTTTCCACTGCCCTAAACAGTTTTGAACTCATCAATTTTGATGCCTTTTAATGCTTTTGCCATTTTTGTTTCACCTTTTCCGCATCGGTCACACATTTCCCTCAGAGGACTTTGTTTCATCCAGGGAAACAAAAGAAAGTCACTCGGGGTGAGATCAGCTGAATAGGGAGAGTGGGCCGTGTTGGTCAAAAACTGCTGAACATTCAGCTCAGTGTGGACAGGTGCGCTAGTAAATCACCCATCAAGTAATTGGCAAATTTATTGAAAGAATCTCCAAAAAATAAATATATTCACTGAAGTCAAACACAAACTCTCACAACGCTACCTGGTGCACGCTGATATGGATGGGTTCCTAGAACACTTACCTAGTGTGGGAGCCTGTACTATAAGGGACCCATCCTCCAAAAGATGATACTGGTTTTTTGTTTTTGTTTTTGGTCCTCCTATATTTGCATCTCTGAGACAAATCTTTGTATTACATTGTATTCCCTGTTGATGTTACTAACTTCCTTAGCAAGGTCACGTGCTGTCATTTAATTTTGCTTTATTAAGCATCTATATCCACTTCCCTTTTGGAATTTGTAGAAGGATTTGGGTTGTGACTATCTCTCTCTTGACTCCTACACCATAATGGATCATGGCATGAGCCACTCTGTGATGGGTGTCCTAGTGACTTGGTCTCCTCCGTAATAGGTTCTTCATTGACGGGGCCTCCTCTGTGATTGGTGACCCAATGACTGGGCCTTCTCTGTGACTGGTGCCCCACTGACTGGCACTCCTCCATTATTGTTGCCCCATTGATTAACCCTCCTCTGTGATGAGTGTCCCACTTACTGCACCTCCTCCATAAGGCATGCCCCAGTAACTAGCCTTTCTTTTTATCTGGTGAGAAGCAGACCACTCTCCACGAGAATGTGGGTTTTGCTCAATAGGAGTTTCATTACTTGGCACAAGTAAGGACAGCACAAGGAATGTTCTCCTAAACCGTGTCTCCTGGAGGGAAAGTGACAGGAGGGTCTTATGAGGCAATGGAGAGGGCAGAGGGTGCATCATCAAATGTACAGGGGGCTTCTAGTGGCACAGATGCACTGAGACATCATGTCAGCACATAGGAAACATGTTATGGTGTACTGCCAGACTCCTAAGGACCCTAAAAGGAAGGGCACTGTGTCCCAGAGGTTGAAGAAATGACCCAGAGACAATAGACAGACATGGACTTTATTCAGGAAATTACTTGAAAAGAAGGTGGCCCAGGAGCCACCAGCTGGACAGGAAAAAAAAAAAAAAACTCTCTCCAGATTGTAAAAATTATACTGGTAGCCAGGCGCGGTGGCTCACACCTGTAATCCCAGCACTTTGGGAGACGGAAGCAAAAGGACTACCTGAACCCATGGGTTCGAGACCAGCCTGAGCAACATGGTAAGACCTTGTCTCTACAATAAATCATAAAAAATTAGCTGGCCATGGTGGTGCACACCTGTGGTTCTAGCTCCTTGGCAGACTCAGATGGAAGGATCACCTGAGCCCAGGAGGTCAAGGCTGTGGTGGTGGCCATGAGCGTGCCACTGCACTCCAGCCTGAGCAACAGAGTGAGACTTCAACTCAAAAAAAAAAAAGGAAAGAGACACAGTGGTTACACAGGGCAGTCTAAGGTTGGGCATGAAAAGGGTGGGGTGTCTAATTCTCTGGTCAATGTGAGGATATAGTCACATGTGCACAAAATGGCTGCAGGTTCTCTCCAAAAGTGGGATTTTATTTTTATTTTATTTATTTATTTATTTTTGAGTTGGAGTCTCACTCTGTCGCCCAGACTGGAGTGCAGTGGCTGCTCCAGGCCACCGCAGCCTCGACCTGCTGGGGTCCGGCGATCCTTCTGCCTCAGACTTCCGAGTAGCCGGAATTACAGGCATGTGCTACCAAGCCTGGCTGATTTTTCATATTTAGTGCAGAGATGAGGTCTCGCCATCCAGGCGGGTCTCGAACCCGCGGGCTCAGGCAATCCACTCACCTCAGCCTCCCAAAGGCACGGGATTACAGGCTGAGCCACCGAGCCCGGCTAAAAGTGGGATTTTAAAAATGAACTAAAGATGAACTAAATGTAACCAAGGGTTATGGACATTGATCCAGATGTGCCCAATCTTGTCTGAATCAGTCCAGGGACCCATGGCTCCAGGAAGGGTGTGTGAGGACATTCACCATGCACATGGACAACCACCATGTGGTCAGCAGGTGGGAGGACACTTCACTCACAGCCACTGCATGACCACATGTCCAGACATGGAGCCTGAGGGACAGGGGACATCCCTGGTTGGCCACCCTGGGGCCTTTCCCCAGGCTTCAATCCCTGCCTGGGGCCACATCCAGGGTGTGCTCACGTTGTCCCTGAGTGTGTGTGTGTCATCCTACCTACATATGGTAATGAAGCAGCAGCTCCCCCAGGGGTGGAGACTTCAGCATGGTCAAGAGGAAAGTTTACCCATCTGCAAGTTGCTGGGGTCTGTCACGAACTGGTTTTGAATAACCAGTTGACAGCATGGGGATAAAACAAGTTGTGGGGCAGGAGCCTGTAAAACAAGTTGATTGGCTGGGAATGGTGGCTCAAGTCTGTAAACCCAGCACTTTGGGAGGCCGAGGCGAGAGGATTGTCTGAGCCCATGGGTCTGAGATCAGCTTGGGTAACTTGCTGAGACCTCGTCTCTACAATAAATCAAAAAATACATCTGTAGTTCCAGCTACTTGGAAGGCTGAGGTGGAAGGATGGCCTGAGCCCAGCAGGTCAAGGCTGCAGTGGCCATGAGTGTGCCACTGCAATACAGCCTGGGTGAAACAGTGAGACTCGGACTTAAAAAAAAAAACAAAAAACCTGAATGCTCAAATTGATTAAGTTCCTACAGTCCCTGCAGACCCTTCCTATCTTCTTACAATTATTTCTTCCTCCTTGCCCAGGAATGGTACAGGTCAAAACAATGCAAAAACTGGAGGGTGAACAAACAAAACTAAATATGGTATATATATATTTTTTTGATTTGGAGTCTCACTCTGTAACCCAGGCTGGAGGGTAGTGATACACTCTTGACCACTGCAGCCTCTACCTGCTCGGCTCAGGTTATCCTTCCGCCCCAATCTTCCAAGTAGCTGGAACTACAGGCACACGCCACCATACCTGGCTAATTTTTTAAATTTATTTATTGTAGGATGAGGTTTTGCCAAGTTGCCCAGGCTGGTCTCGAACCTGCTGGGCTCAGGCAATTCTCTCACCTCATCCTCCCAAAGCACTGGGATTATAGGTATGAGCCACTGCACCCAGCCTAACATGGTATTTTTATCAGTGAAGTGCAGTAACTTTGATCTCTGGAATATAGTCAAATGCAGTAAGACAGTTAAATGCAGTAAGACAGAGACCTTTTAGCATGTCTCCTGCTAGCTCACTTTTGGCTTCATAACAGCACTGTCACTTTTTTTCTAAGTCTAGGAACTATATTTTCCAGAATCCCCTTCTCTGTGCAGTTTTGGGTCAGAGTTTGCCAATGAGAGGAACTTGTCGGAGATTTGGAGGACGGAAAGGAAGAAGTCATTATTTTTTTTTCAGAGGTGTTTGCAGGTAGATAGATGTTTGGCTAATTAAAAGATTCACGGTGTCTTTCCAGCAATTTTTTCAAGAATGACTCACCTTGCCTGAGACAGTTGGTGGTCGTTTCTGAAGATTCTTAAGTATTACAGCAGCTCCAGAAAAGCTTCTGAAAAGTACCTCCCTGGTTCTTTACACTGACATCCTCAGTTATCTACCCCAGTGGCTGCTTCTACCTCTCCACCCTCATCCTCAGTTCTTCCAACAGTTCTGTGAGTCTTGAATTTGTTGATGAAAAGATGCTAAATTCTGTAAAATATCTTGAGATGGTTTATTCTTGTACTAAACTTGAGGACTTAAGCTTGGAAACACTCATCCTCAGGAGGTCCTGAGAATGTGTGCCCACTGTGACTGAACGGTGACTCGGTTACATACATTTTGAGGAAGGCAGACGTTACAAGAAACTGAAAACCAGTACATGTGAGGTTTTTCATTGGTTTGTCCTGGGAAGGGGGGACATTTCCAAGGGAGTTTGCAGGTCATAGGTGAATTCAAAATTTCTTGACTTGGTAATTTGTAGTTCCTATCTAAGGAATCTGGAAAATCAGTAGAGGAGATGTTTTGCTAAGATAAGGCAGTGGAAAACTCCAGGTATGTTGCTATATAGATGAAATACTATATGTGGCAAACTTTAGGGAAGATAGAGAAGTGATTCCCGGAATCTGGGAATCCATTAGAGATGGCTTTGCAGGGCCACAGACCTTCTTTATTTGTTCTATTATGTCAGAGTCAGGTTGGAAAGCAAACTTTAGAGTACAGGATAATAGGGTTATAAGACCCTGTCTGGTGAGTCCTGATTAGGCAGTGACTCTTCAGCTTTTTAGTTAGAAATCTAGGTAAGAAAAAATAGGTCAGGTTTAGCCCTCACATTAAACACTATATTTCTGGAATTTATCAAGTAGCTTCTTTTACATTGTCTGACCCCTGATGCTGATGATACAGACATAATCACAGCTAGAGCTGAGAAAATATCCATTTTATTATATATTGCAAATGGCTAGAATACGATACATTATCTCAATATGTAAATACCCAGGCACATCTCGAAGTCAAATTTAGATTACCTGGACTTCTTCTTTCCTATTCTTTAATGATGATAGCTGAGATCATTATACATTTTATTAGTTTCTTCAGTGTTTAAAATGATGTTCAAGTAAACTTCAAGAGTTATCTTCGGACATCCCCCTTGGGTCCCTTCTCACTGTGGGAGCTTTTCTGGCATCTCAATAAATCCTGCTTTCTAAAAAAAAAAAAAAAAAAGTTATCTTCAACTTTCTCTGAATAAGTAGTTTGAGTTCTTAAGATATAGGTTGTAGCCGGGCTCGGTGGCTCAGCCTGTAATCCTGTGCCTTTGGGAGGCTGAGGTGAGCGGATTGCCTGAGCCCGCGAGTTCGAGACCCGCCTGGGCAGCAAGACCTCATCTCTACAATAAATCAAAAAATCAGCTGGGCGTGGTAGCGCATGCCTGTAATTCCGGCTACTCGGAAGGCTGAGGCGGAAGGATTGCCGGAGCCCAGCAGGTCGAGGCTGCAGTGGCCGGGAGCGGCCACTGCACTCCAATCTGGGCGACAGAGTGAGACTCCAACTCAAAAAAAAAAAAGATATAGGTTGTAATTCAAATACTTGGTGTTACTCAATAGTGTTTTATCTGTAGTAGGAAGAGAAAAACCAAGTTTCGATGAATAGTAGCAAACCATTTAACCCTTATTCATTATTTGTTGTCTCTTTCTCTCTGACATGATATATAAGCCTCCTTTGATTATGTCTTTCACTAGTCTCAGTACTGTTTTAATAAAATTGATATTAATCCAGATCATATTGAAAGGTCAAAGCAACTGTGACCAAATGCAGCTCACATACAGTTGCTGGGTAGGGTGAGGCATGACGCTCTATGAGTCATGGCCTTACCATGGAAAAGCATTTCTGGGGTGGGGGAGAGTATAGTTTTAAAACAGAGTTTATTAGAGAGAGGGAGTGAGAGAGAAAGAGTGAGAAAAGGCATGCCCAAGAGGCATGGACATCTTGAAAGAAAGATTGCATATTTTTCTTTTTTGACAAAAAACTTGATATATCGACACAATGATTACTACACAATGATTACTATGCTGAATGGGCTGTAGGTATCTGTTCCTGAGAGATTACCATCTTCCCATTTTTGATGAGGTAAGAGGTGGGCTTTTCCTGGACACACATTTTGCCTTTGACAGGAAACTTGATACTTTTACAGCAATTTTTATGTTAAGCCACAAACTGAAAGGTGGGCTGATTATCATTTCTACACTTCTGCTGAGGTAAGGGGTGGCCTTGAGCATTTGTCTTTAGCAGGGAACTTGATAGACTTTTACAGTGATTATTATATTAATCATGAATCATGAAAGGGTAGGCCATACCAGTGAATCTACATCCCAGTCCATAGGGTGGTCAGGTCTGATGTGCCCATAAATAAAAATGTCTTAACACTTTCCCTATTTTAAAACTACCTATAAGAATTTTATCTAGCTATGTCTAACTTATACTAAAATAACCTGCCTTGATATCACATGCCCCCAACTTGGCAAAGGGTTACATTTAAGAAACATCTATGCCCAGTAAAACCTTTTTTCCCCCTGATATCCCTCAGGAGAAAAAAAATGATATTCACCATGCATTGCAATGTTTCAAGTCTCTTTCCCAAACATTTCCTTCTCTACCTCTTTCAATTGCTCTATTCAAGATAACAAATAATAAAGAAAACTTTTATATAATGCTTGCTGTGTCTTGGGCACTATTCTAGGTACTCCACCTATGTTAACATTTAACCTTACAATAGTCTTATTACTAGGGGCTGGTAGTTGAGGAAACTGAGGCTAAGAGGGATTAAACGTGGCAGGGTCAGTGGTAAGTGTACCCAGCAGCTAGCAGCAGGTGATCAACACACCTTTTCTAGCACCATTTCCTTCCCTTGCCCATCTCCCCCTTTCTCTGTTTCGTTTCTTTCTAACCAGTAGTTATCTTTTTTTCATTGACATTCTAACAGTTAAATCAGTATCCTCCATTTCTTTTCCCACAACCTCAGGGTGCCTGAAGAAGGGAAGGGCCAGGAGGCGATGAGCCAGTCTCAACTCTCTTTTTGGGAAGATAGGGAAGACAAAAGCAAGGGAAGGCATTAGAGAAGGTTCTGTGGATACCCATGAATGGTAGTTGCTTGTCTTTCCTGTTAAATAGAAATTTCTTTTTCACACTGTGTTCAGAAGACAAAGAAATAACAAAAACAAGTAAAGGCAATGGCAGCAGTGATCAACAGAATAAAGCCAGAATGAGAACTGAAGTTAAGAACTTGAGAGAGCAGATGACAGTGTGGCAGGTGATTCAGTCCTCAAACTAGTCTCCCCCCATCATTTCCTCCCCATGACCTGTTTTTTTTTCCCCTTAGTGTGACTCCAACGCATTTTCAGGAGCAACATAAATGGGGATGAGGATGATCTGCTGTTGATCATAGGAGGAGGCATTCAGATGGCAAATAAATCCATAAAAATAGAACACAGAGCAGCAACTTAGTTTAGCACTGTCAAAGTGGAGTAGAAAGGCTTTGGAGATCCATAGGGCTTTCTGTGTCATAAAAACCTCAATAAATAAAATAATATATTTAGGTTGCTTTCAAACTCAGGGAAACTCAAGCTTCTTTATTTTTCTCAAAAGTAACCTAATAAAATAAGCACTCAAGATCTTTGCTTTTCAGTTTTCAAACCATAGCCCTATAATAGTCTTGTTATGTTCATAATGGGGACCATCTCCTCCAGAATGAACACCAGTGCTGGGAAAAACATAAATACATGTTTTACCTTCATACATACATACAAACATATATACATATAAACATACACACATACACTTGGGCCCTAAGCCACATTGATCCACATCAAGCTTCAGGAAGGACATTTCTTATCAATTTTTGCATTATAGTACTCTAGCATGCTTTGATGTTCGTGACCCTTGGGCCTTTTGAAGTGCTAAATAGCATACAATTACTTTTTAAATTAAAACTCCTATGGATTAACTTTAAAAATTTTTTTAGAGATTTGCTCTCTCTCTCTGTGTGTGTGTGTGTGTGTGTGTGTGTGTGTGTGTGTGTGTGTGTGCATGTGTGTATGTGGCTATTAGAGCTATCTTGATATATGTGGGCATTAGGACTGAATGCTGTGGATATCTGCAAATTTAAGATTAGAGAACAAACAAAATGCAGTTTACTCTTATATACAGCAATATGATCACCAAAACTTTTTATTTTTAATTTAAAGATAAAAATAATTTTTATTTTTAATTTAAAGATAAAAATAATTTTTTATTTAACTTACTTTATTTTATTTTTTTGCAGAGACTGGGTCACACTGTTGCCCAGGCTGATCTCAAACTCCTGTCCTCAAGTAATTCTTCCACCTTGGCCTTCCAAAGTGCTGGAATTACAGCATCAACCACCATGCCCAACCAGAAACTTTCAAAATAGATGTTTTATAGCTCTGACCTTACAAGTGTGAGGCAATCTCAGAAACATCAGGAAAGCTTCTCTTCTTCCTTTGGTTTCTGGATTTCTGAAATGCAAATGAATCTTAATTCTAATGACATCAAGAATTTTCTATTGCTTTCCCAGGAATGAATTGTTACAGGGAGCAAATGAAGAAAAGGAATTTCTGTCAGAGAAGATTGAAAATAGGTAAGACTTTAGTGGCCCATGACTCACTGAAAAGGTTGAAGCCACGCCCAAATCAATTAAGCAGGTATTCATCGGAGGTGTTGGGTTTATTGAGACCAGCAAGGGCGGTCTCTTGATCTAGCATTGACCAAAATATAAATTAGCGGTGTCTTTTTTTTTTCTTTAATTTTAAAGATGTAGGGTAGTGGTATCTTAAATCCATATTGTGGAATATTTTCTGTCTTAGCTCATGCCAGGAAATATTGTGTTACATCGGACAGTTGTACCTATACATTGAAATTCCTTAAATGTGTATCAATATTGTACATAATAAGGCAATTCCATAATGACACTCAAATGATATTGTTTTAAGTCTTAAAGGCAAATAATAAGTGCTTGTATGTTTTTTATTTGGGCAATAAAAGAAAATAAAATGTGAATAGAAGTCAATTACTCAGTAGAAGAGATATGCAGATGTCAAAATCTAATATTTATTTTCTTTTTATAATTTAAAATACCTGTATTTTCTTTTCACAGTGGACTCCAGAATATTCAGTGCGGCAAGAACACACATTGGGAAATACACATCTTCCTCCATAAAGACACTTTTGGTGACAAATTGCTGCAATGCACAAATTATTACAATTATCATCTTCTGACATGGAAAGCTTGTGACATATTCTATTCCAGTGATCTGAAGCTATTCAGTAATCAGACACTAACATAGACATAAGAATCAATTAATGAACCTCTATAGATAGATCCAACCCAAGACTCCCAACTTTAGAGCACACACACACACCAAAAATTACAACACTGAAAGCTCAAACAAACTTTTACAATTCTATAGAGATATTATTAAAGGAAACATAAATTTCATTGGCTACATTTTAATGCATTCAAAAAAACAGTTTTTTGAGAGGAGTTCAAATCAGTCACAGAAGACAGAGTTTATAATTTGCTTTTTAACAATCAGCAAAAATGTAAAAGACAACTCAATACTGGCTAGTGTAGGGAAAAATAGACAATTGTTTGTACCTCTATTGAAAGTTTAATATGAAACAACTCCAATGGAAATTTTTAAAAGAAATTCACACCATCTATACTAGAAATTTCTTCCATGAAATCTTTCCTAAGGCAATTAAAAAATACCTAAATCTATCTCAATATCTATCATCTATCATCTATCTTTAGAGAGTGCACACAGTACATAATAATAATTTGTAAATAACTAAAATAGTCCACACAAGGGGAGCAGTCAAAGGAATTATGTATTTATATTATAAAACTTAACATGTTCCTTAAAATTATTAATTATTAAATAATTCCTTAAAATTTGAAAGGACATGGTAAATGCTTTTAAGTGACATTGAATGAAAATGAGCAAACCATAAAATTATATATAGGACAGTTATTTTCATGGGGAAGGTACAACTTCCATATCTCATAGTGAAAGCTTGCACGCTTCAAGAGCAACGTTTCATCTGACATAATTACATCATTGGCAGAGGAGATTTTCCAGAAGATAGTAGTAAAATGTTAAAATGTCATCATCGATATATGCATATTATGACAGTTTCTCAATACTTGGGAACAGGGTGCACTCAAGCTCAGTCTACAAACATGCAACAAATCTCCACATTAATGCATCCCCCCTTCTTTTTTTGAGTTGGGGTCTCACTCTGTCATCCAGGCTGGAGTGCCGGTGCGTGATCACGGCTCACTGCAGCCTCGACTGCTTGGGCTCATGTGATCCTTCTGCCTCAACCTTCTGACTAGTGGGGACTACAGGCACATGCCACAACACCCAACTAATTTTTGGGGTTTTTTGTAGAGAGGAGGTCTTACTTCTGGGCTCAAGCAATCCTACTGCCTCAGTCTCCCAAAGTGCTGGGATTACAGGTGTGAGCCACTGTGCCCAGTCCAGATTTATCCATTTTTGAGCACACATTTCTTATGTAAGCACTAGCACTTAATAGTATTTTGACATACTTTCCTAAGATCAGAAATGTATAAAATATAATAGCAATTATGAATAAAATAAAATCTAAGAGTTATAAAAATTATGTACAAATCTTTGTATGCATAGAAACCACAGTGTAGCTCATTAAGCATTGAAATGGACAGCACATATTTTTAGTAAACAGGTACAGTCATGAAACATCTGTGTAATTTCAGTTTACAGTATACTTGGCCACCAGCTTTTAAATTATGTAATTATTGATCATTTGAAAATATTTTTAGGGGATATCTATATTTTTCCATTAATCTTTGTCAATATGTTAATATGTTATTTCAAGTTTTCTTAAAATTTCAAAATTAGAAATATGCTAAAATGCTAAAAACAACAGAAATGAATTCTGTGTGGTGAAAATGGGCATGCTAAATTTATACTTTTCCATGTTTTTTAAGATTTATATTATAAATATGCTTTGATCTTATAATATGAAATAATATTTAAACTTTTAAAGCCTTCTTTGGCCCACCAGAGAAATCTTTATTAGTAATCCACAGACCAGAATTTGAAACTCTGTCACACAAAATATTCAAATATTAGACCTTACTTTTTAAATTTTTTATCATGCACAAAATGACAATAAAATATAAAATGTAAAAAGGCAAAAATTGTCATTAAGAATCACTTTTACAAAAGTTAAAACTATAATAATATCATTGAATTTTACATGACAAGTATTCTATCTTTATATAAAGCAAAGGGAAACCTCCGTAACAACAAACAAAGCAAACAACAACAACAAACCCTACGACTCCATTTAATCTGAGTAGTTTTCAGAAACTACCCGAAGCACCGATGTGTATAAATTAGTACTTGTCTTGCACATCTTGCTGTTTTGCTTTTTACTTTTAAATAGATATAAAATTGACTAAGTTTTCCTTTTATTTCTGAAACCATTTTTTAAAGGATCAGCATGCTGGATTTTTTTCCCCTATGGATTTCTCCTAAAGTCATACTTTTAAAAAAAAATTTTTATTTTAAAGATGTAGGGTATAATTCAGGGTTAGGTGTACAGTTAAACTTTGGACCTCACTTTGGACTCCACTTCACCTGGTTGGAGATCAGGTACCCTTATTGATGAAGTTCCTCCCCCACCCTCCCCCACTCCCTGGCAGTTTCCCACTACTGCCAATCCATTTCTTATAGTATTATGATAATTGTCCAGGTTTCGCTTATGAGTGAGAACATGTGGTACTCAGTTCTCTGCTTCTGTTATAGATCACTGAGTATTATAGACTCAAGTCCATCCAAGTTGCTGCAAAGTTCATAATTTTGTCCATTAATTATTATAACAGATTCAGATTGAGAAGAGAGAGTAGGAAAAAAATTCCATGGGCTTACGTGTTTGACACTGTGCTCCTTCCCAGGCGGAAGGACAGTGGCATATATTAGGAGCAATGCATTCACCACCATTTTGACATTTCTGAAAGCAGACAGCTGCAAATGGAAATAAAAACAAGGTAAAACTTTAAATTACTAGTTAAATCCTATCAGTAAGAATGAACAATTTTCATTAAAAAAAAAAAGAACAACAGTTAAAAGTCAGTGATTAAGAAATCTTTTCAAGAACAAAAAATTTAGCAAAACATTTTCTAAGGTCACTATATATTCTTGGAAAACGTAATTTTAATGATTGTAAAGTGTTCCATTGTTAGAATGCTTTGTGATTTAATTTTTTCCTCAATTACTGAACATTTATGTTGCTTCTTATTTTTCAGTTTGATCAAAACATAGCTGCTAATTTAAAATAATTTCTAGAAAGAAAACAATGAAACATCTGAGTGAGGAGACCCACCCTCATCTCAGAAACTAACCAGACTGAAAGACACGGGCATCCCACCTTGGAAAGGTCTGAACTGGTTGGTTTGAGGCAGTGCCAAGGAATCGGTAATTTCGCAAACCTTCCCCTGATGCCTACTTCAGATTTGGAGACCAGGACTTAACAATTTGTTATTTATACTGGCAAGTGTAGTAGAAAAACTGAAAAGTACAATATATCTTCTTCCAATATCTGAAAAGAATGAATTCAGAAGACTTTGCCTTTTAGTCTATTTCAAAAAGACATCTCCTAAAGCAAGAATAAATATATGAAAATTAAAACAAAAACAAGAACAACGCTCTTTGTTTTAAATTCTGCTTTCTGTTCCCACAAAGAATGTGCACATTAGCATCTTAAGAGTATTCCTCTTGGCCTGACTTGGTGGCTCACACCTGTCATTCCAGCACTTTGGGAGGTGGAGGGGAGAAGATTGCCTGAGCCCAGGGTTCGAGACCAGCCTGGGCAACATGATGAGACTTTGTTTCTACAGTAAATCCAAAAATTAGCTGGGCCTGATGAGGCATGCCTGTAGTTCCAGCTACGTGGAAGACTGAGGCGGAAGGATCGCCTAAGCCCAGCAGGTGGAGGCTTTGGTGGTTGTGAGCGTGCCACTGCATTCCAGCCTGGGTGACAAAGTGAGACTCCAACTCAAAACAAAACAAAACAAAAAGAGTATTCCTCTTACGTGTGCTGCATCTTCTCCCGCTCCATCCAGAAGGACAAGAGCAAATATTTGGTCCCACACATTTTCCTCCATTCATGCACATGGGATCACAGATGCCTTAAGGTAAAAGCATGAAAGATCAGTCCTTAAACAGCAATAATTTTGCGTTGACTTTACCAGTAGTGGACAAATACATTTAGCGGTGTCTTACTTTTTTGGCATCTCCGGCCAGTGTATCCTTCACGACAGACACACACATTATTTCTCATGCAGTGGCCACCATTCTTACAGGGAGGGTGACAGAAAGCTAAAAGAACACATGGCAGCAATCTGTGAATATCGCACATTCAATTATTACATATTATATATTGCATCGTGTATGTTATCTATGGGGCCATAAGGCAGAGGAATGGGCTATTAAAATAAAAGATCACAACCGCAAGTCATTAAAACTGTCCTCTCTCAATCATCAAATACAGTTCTTATGGCTATCAGTTGCAATGGGCTTAGCACAATTTGAAATGTATTGGTGAAGGGTTCATAACAAATTGAGTCTTATGTATTATAGAGCATAGATTATGAACCCTCACTTATGTTTCATCATATAATGAAGTAAAGTGTGAAATGATCTGGATGAAACCAAGAAAATAAGTCAAAACCTAGCTCAAAATAAGAATGTATCTGTTTTTGTGAAAATTAGGCAAATGTCATCGATTTTTCTCATGATATTTAGCACATACTTTTAAATTAACTTTGGGATGTCTACTGAGATTATGAAGACAGCACTTTAGATGTGATTTACTCCTGTGAATGTCGGGTAAAAATATTTTTTAACAGTAAATCCTTGGCTTTGTTAGGAATATTTGTAGATGATTTTGAATAGACTTTACTGATTTATTCTATGTATGATTCTGTTCCATAAAATTCAGGGTTAAAATGTTATACTATAAGAAAATGACTGACGGTACTGGGAAACTATGGGGGGGATGGGATTAACAGTAGCAAATATCTGTCTGGGGATGGGAAAACACCTCTTATCAACAGGGTGCCTGAATAAAACGTAATTGTACACCTAACCCTTAACTGTACCCCACAAAACCATAATAAAAAATATTGATTAATAAAAAAAAATTCAGGGTTAATATTTATTATTTTGATGAGAGGATTATTATTACTTCATGTTTCTTCCAGATATGGAAATTAAATGCAGCTTTAAAAAATACACAGCCAAATCTGTATGGAAAATTTTATATTCAATTTCTCCCTAAATATTCGTTAAAGGTATTTTAGTTTGTGTTTTTTAAAATGAATTTCAAATGTACTAAGTTTTGATAACAGGGCTAGTGTAGACTGACTCCCAGTTTGAATTTGATTTATCTTTAATAGTTGTTTTATTTCCAAACACTAGAAGAAAAATTCAACTGATTCCAAATGGATTTTTAAATTGAAATAGAGACAGCTTTTTGTTTTTGTTTTTTTGAGTTGGAGTCACATTGTCGCCCAGGCTAGAGTACAGTGGCAAGCTCACAGCCACCACATCCTTGACCTGCTGGGCTCTGGTGATCCTTCCGCCTCAGTTTTCCAAGTAGTTGGAACTACAAGCATGTGCCACCATACTCAGCTAATTTTTTATTAATTTTAGAGATGAGGTCTCGCCAAGTTGCCCAGGCTGGTCTCGAACACACGGGCTCAGGCAATCCTCTCAACTTGGCTTCCCAAAGTGCTGAGATTATAGACAGGAGCCTCTGAGCCCGGCCATGAGGGAGTTTAAGTATAAAAATCTAACTGAGTGCTTTTAGCAAATAGATAGCTTCCACTATTTTAGACTGAGCCTTTTCTGGTTCACGCTTGAGTCTACTGTTCTTTCTCTGGCATTTTATTGGTACTTTTTGTTAAAGGAGAAATGTTCTTACATTTTCTGCTACCCATCCTTTATACAACTTAAGATTATGTCTATTTATTAAGAAAAAAATGTCTTCTTTCCATTATATAAATTCCCTAGGAAATGCCTATGATTAGAAATTTAAAACTACAGCCTAGGCAAAATAGCAAGACCTCGCTTCTACAAAAAATAAATAAAAGAAAGATTAGTTTGGCACAGTGGTTCATATATGCAATCCACCTACTGGGTGGTGGGGGATTGGGTGAGGCAGGAGGATAGTCTGAACCCAGGAGTTCGAAGCTGTGATAAGCTGTGATCATGCCATTGGACTTCAGCCTGGGTGACAGAGTGAGATGCAGACTCAAAATGAAAAAGAAAAAAATTGAAACTAAAAAAAAACCCCACAGATTGTTTATGATGAGTAACCTTGCTATAATTAATGATCATCCACAGAGACGTCAGTGTAGTGATAAATATCACATTTATACAAAAAAGTACATCTAATTAAAATAATATATGCAAAAAACACATAAGCAAGGCTTGGTCATGTCCACTCTACAAAAAAAAGCACAAATAATTAAAATGAAATATACAGAAAACATAGACCTTAGGCTTGGTATCTCCCCCCATGCTCTCACTTTATAAAAGGAGGTTTGTAAGAAAATTCATCCTCCACATTTATTTATGGGATTCTGTAGGCCTTACAGGGCTCTCTCATCAAAACCGAAGTGACCTAAGTAATCAGGGTTTACTCTCCATGTGAAATTCAAGAGGTGAAGGAAATTAGAAGCTGTATTTAAACATCTCTTGTGCAAGGCATTTAAAGTCTTATTGATAGAGTGGTCTAACTCCCTCCTGATGTTTCTAGTTCAGTTTGTATCTTCCCCTTTTAAAATTCTAGAGTATACACACTATATGTTTGTCATATTTACCTTAAACCATATTCTTCCTAATTTTATTCGATTGATTTCGAATGTGTGCCATCTTCCCTTCCCACCATGTGGACTCACAAGGGGATGTGATCTAATAAGAATTACATATTGTCTCACAGCAACTGTCTAAATCAAATTTGAAAGCCAGGAGGCCAGCAGATGGAGTAAATTTCCAAAGTCCACGCCAGTAAGGAAGTTATAGACATCTACTAATTTCAAATCTGTTCCCATTCTACAATAACCTGTTTCCTAGGCCCTTAAAATATGTCATATGTTCAATAAGTAAATTTAGTTTAATGATTTAGAGAGTCCTTATTTTACTGAGTTATAGTTGGCACATACATCTCATTTCATTTCATTTTATTTTTATTTTAAGAGACAGAGTCAGGCTGGACGTGGTGGCTCATGTCTATAATCCCAGCACTTTGGGAGGCCAAGGCAGGAGGATTGCTTGAGCCCAGGAGTTTGAGACCAACCTGGGCAACATAGCAAGACCCCGTCTCTATAAAAATAAAAGATATATAAAAAGACAGAGTCTTGTATGTTGCCCAGTGTGGTCTTGAACTCCTGGATTGCAAGTATGAGCCACTGTGTCCAGCAGGCACATATATTTTAGAGAAGAGTCTCTCTTCTTTTTTTTTTTTAAATGTATTTTCTTTTAAAGATGTGGAGTACAATTCAGGATTAGATATACAAGTGGTCACTGCGCGGGTAAAGTTTGGACCTCCCTCTGGTTTCCACTTTGCCTGGTTTGAGATCAGGTACCTTTATTAATGTTAAGTTCCTCCGCCCAACCCCCAGCAGTTTCTGGCTGCTGTCAATCCCTTTCTTACAGTATTATGGTAAGTGTTCAGGGTCCACTTATGAGTGAGAACATATGATACTCAGTTCATTGTTTCTATGATAAATCACTCAGTATTATAGACTCTAAATCTATCCAAGTTGCTGCAAAGTCCATAATTTTGTTGAAAAGAGCTTTTCTTATTCTATCTTACATCCACTGCAAGTAGTACGATAAATGGGAACTTTCCATTTCCTTTCATACAATCCCTCAAAACTCCATGCATAGCTCTTCATCAGGGGTTTAGTCATAGTCTTCCGGTTTTCAAGATTTGCCTTAACTTACTCTCTATGCCTTTCCATTTCTCAAACTGACTCCTCAAATAAAATCTGAATTAGAGGAACGTATACCCTATGCCTATATGTCCTGTGTTAGAGTGATAGTTTCTTCTCTGCTTCAGTGTCATCCTCAGAACCCTAGCCAACATTCAAATAACAGAATTAGAATTGCAAATCAAAGTGCATCATGGCAAGGAAAATATGAGTTTTAGGAATTATTATGGGTCAGGCTCGGTGGCTCAGCCCGTAATCCCACGCTTTGCGAGGCCGAGGTGAGTGAATTGCCTGAGCCCACAGGTTCAAGACCCGCCTGGGCAACTTGGTGAGACCTCATCTCTACAATAAAATTTAAAAAAATTAGCCGGGCATGGTAGTGCACGCCTGCAGTTCCAGCTACTTGGAAGGCTGAAGGAGAAGGATCGCCGGAGCCCAACAGGTTGAGGCTGCGGTGGCATGCCACTGCACTCCAGTCTGGGCGACAGTGAGACTCCAACTCAAAAAAAAAAAGAGAATTATTATGGAGATATATTTTATACTAAAAATTCACTCTACATTTTGTATAAACTTAAAAAAAGGAAGATACAAAAAATACACTTTAAATTTTGTTTATTGACATGAATACATGCCTACACTCTCATACTTAAGACATTTCCATTATTCCTTTAAAAACTCTAACATTAACTATATGGGGAAAGGTTGTTAAAACAGCAAGTTAAGGAGGGAAATGGCATCTTTGTGTCTCATGTCATCTTGTGAAATGCCATGCACAGGTGAGTACAGGAAGTCCCATACATTCGAACGAGTTCTGTTAGCCCAGGTACTCATCTAACACAATCGCTATATAGTACTGTACTGTGATAGGTGTGTAATATTTTTCACACAAATACTACTGTGCAACACTCTACAGTAAAGTACATAAAAGCACAACCACTTGTAGAACATGCATGCACGTGACAATGTACGCCAAACATGTGAACTAACTTACATGATTGGACATGCAAATGCATAATTTGAAAGTTTGCAACTGTAAGGTTCATATGTAGGGGACTTACTGTATTCATAAATGTTTAATAAAACTAAAGTGAAGAGAGATCTTGGAATAATAGAGGACAGTATGTTGACCATAAATCGAACATTTTTTTTCTGTGAAGGCAATAAAAATGACAGTATTTCATTAAAACAGACTGCAAGAGGACTTCACTTGTTTCACCCCTTGGTCCTACAAAACTGCACAGATGAACACCAAGGTTGTGAGCCTAATATATGTTGAATAAATGTAACCATTTTATATAACTTTAATATATTGGCATATGCTGGTCATGTGGAAGGCATACCTACAGCGTCACAAAAATTGAAGCAAAAAACAAATAGCATCTTCCCCTTTGAAACTTGTCTTGTGTTTACCCAGAGCTCTATTGAGGTCTAGCTTTCCAATTGCCCTTTTTACTTACAAAGAAAGCATAATTACCAATCTGGCACTGTGCACCAAAGAATCCATTTGGACAGAGGCAACTGTTTGGCTTATTACAGGAACCACCATTGAGGCAAACGGGGTCACACAAAGCTAATGAACAGCAGGAGGAAAGAGACCATAAAGGTTTATTATTTGAAAAATGAAAGCTGCCAAGAAGTACAAAATGGTGCATCATAAAATATTTTATTTTGACTGCAAGTAGAACCCACAAGAGATAAGTAATCAGACTTTGCCAAACATAAGAATGAAGTAAAGGGATAATCGCTTTGGAAACATGTTCATTAAGTTTACAAATAATACTAAGCTAAGAATGTGGAGGCTATGATTAGACTTTAGAATGCCCTCAGTAATCTGAAAGAAATAATTGTAAGTTAACAGAAGGCAATTCAATTCAACAGTGCTAACAGGATGGTTGTAATCTGCTCAGATACACATAGCCACGTGCACCTCTCTAACTCCTTCCCAATGAAAACAGGAACACTGCACTCAAACACATTCTTTGTTTTTGATCTTGACCTTTGTTTCACTTTGTAAGGCAGCCCCAATTCCATTTTTCTCCCTACATTTTTTACTCGTTCACTAAGGTCTACAACAAATGTGATTTTCTTCCCAACTTCACTTGCCAGAATTAATCTCTGTCTTCTCTGCTTCTAAAGAACTGTGCTTCAATTACATTGCTTATCACACTTCCACTTGAATCAGTCTTTTTTATAATGTACCTGTTTGTCTATCACTAACAATACTCTGCTTGAAATCAAGGCAAAAGTCAAATTGATCTTTGTTTCTCTTTGCATCATGTTTCACCCATAATTGGCAAGCTGCAAATGGTGAATTACATTTTCATTGAGAAAAGTCATTAGATTAAACATAGATAACTGCAAACACTACTGCCAAAGAAGCAAGCCTGCTACTGTGATATATAAATAGAATCACATGATGGGTATTAACTTAACTCAGAATTGCTTAGATGTTTAATAAAATGGAATATCAGTGTTGTGATCAGAAACTTAAAAGAAATGTAGAAGAGCAACACAAATATGTTTCTCTCCACCATAAGGAGTATTTAGATTTCATGAGTGAAATAAAAAGGAAAAAAAAAAAAAAAGCATTGGTTGGAGGGGGTAACATAAAACATTTTCTGGTCCAGTATAAAAAGAAAAAACAAAGACAAAAGATGAAGTTTTAGAAGTCAGACTATAGTAAAAATATCATACCTGTCTTGTTGGATCAGTTTTAGGTTTCTTAGGTGAAAGTCTTCAAGACAACTGGCACATTTTAAATTTCTTTTAACTGACATGTTCATTGAAAATATCTCTAATTTACCTGTATTGCAGCTGGGTCCATACCAGCCAGGCTTGCACTGGCAAACATCTGGTGTAAGACATTCACCTCCATTTTCACAATGCCTGTTACAGACCACTAAAGTCATAGAATGAACATAAAATAGATATAACTTAGGCTTAAAATAGTCATATTGTTGGCTATTACCTATTTAACTCACAACTGCCAGTGACATCTGCTAATAAATATGATTGAAAAAAGAGAGAAAACATAATGTATACTTTGGCTTTGAGTGCTCTTCAACTCTTGCATTCAATTATTTTTTGGTTGATAAAGATAGGGAAAATAGAAAACCATTGAACCAAGTGGTAAATAAGAGTGGGTTATTTGGAGAAATTATTAGTTATTGGTAAAAAGCAATCATAGACATAAATGAGAAATGTATACACAATTTAACAAGCCCAAATTCCTGTTATCTCAAAGAAAGGTCGTGGATAGCATCAAGAGGAGATTTACTTTCACTGGGCACAGTGGTTGCTCCCATTGTGATGCAAGATGGTAATGTCATCACAAATCATCTGGGTGTATTCTTTACTTAGGGTTTGGGTTCATTTTATTCAGTACTAAAGGCATCAACTCTTCAAAGGAGCGATTTCATTACATCAGAATGCAGGAGAGTTTGCTTACTTGTTTCACACCTTGGTCCTACAAAACCGTAAGGACAAGTGCAGAGACTGCCAGCCACACACGTGCCACCATGTTGACAAGGTGGGTTACAATTTTCTGCAGACACAGATTATGTTAAGTCAGTTCTTAATTTCAAAATAGCCCATTTCTATTTATGAAGCATAGCCACAATGAAACCTTGCTGTGAGAGCAATGTGTGATGAACGCAATTCTCTTTTGCTATGAAATTTAGTTCCGTGGGATTGACTATATGACTTCATACTCTAGAGACATTCACAAATCATCTGTATGTTTTGATTCATGAAACTCGTGGAAAGAAATGTATGACCTTAGGCCTCTTCTGAAAAGTGAGATCTGAGTTTATGTATCCCCACTCTACAAATAGAGTATCTCTATATTTCCATAGTTATTTTCATATGCTATTGACATAGGAGGTTTTTGTTAGTTCACCTAAATTTACCTTAATTTGTTAATTTGTAACTTGCCTTGTCATGAAAGTATTTTATTTATTTATTTTTATTTTTGAGTGGGGTCTCATTCAGTCACCCAAGCCGGGGTGCAGTGGTGCGCTCACGGCCATTGCAGCCTCAACCTGCTGAACTCAGCCAATCCTTCCACCTCAGCCTTCCAAGTAGCTGGATCTGCAGGCGTGCACCATTAAACCCAGCTAATTTTTCTTTATTTATTGTAGAGGCGAGGTCTCGCCAAGTTGTCCAGGCTGGTCTTGAACTCCTGGGCTCAGGCAACCCTTTTGCCTCTGCCTCCCAAAGTGCTGGGATGACAGGCGTGAGCCATTGCACCTGGCTACATGAAAGCATTTTAACAGGGCTCTTCATTTGTTTATAATTTTATGTACCATCTACCAATATATTATTTTAAAATACTATTTTAAGAATAAACCACAAATTTCTTTAAACTATCACCCACTTTAGGAATGTCATTTCATATGTTAGAAAACATATGAAACTTAAGATTTCAACAAAGCAACACAATTGTGTTGCTATAAATATTTTTTAAAAATCACTTTTTGGATTTCTTCTTACTTCTTTATATCTTCTTGTTATATGGCATTTAACACTTCCTGGGAACTACGTTTGATCAGTTATTTGATAAGCCAGTGTCTTTTGATTAAAGCTAAAATATTTGTAGAGATATGATAACTTATAACTAAAACTCAAAAATGATTTTTACCAATGGTAAGTAAGTTATTACTCTTTGGAGTTCGGATTTCAGAAATTTCTTTAAAAACTCTCAAATATATTCACAATAGCAAAAACATGGAACCAACTGTGCTGCCCACTGAAACTGGATTGGATAAAAAAAAAAAAAGATGGTACATATGCATAATGGAATATTACGCAGCCATAAAGGACAAACATATGGACTTTGCAGCAACTTCGATGGATTTAGAGTCTATAATATTCAGTGATCTATCATAGAAACAAAGAACAGAGTACCATATGTTCTCACTCATAAGCAGACCCTGAACATGTACCATAATACTATAAGAAAAGGATTGGCAGTAGTGGGATACTGCCAGGGCGGGGGTGGGGACACATCAATAAGGGCACCTGATCTCAAACCAGTCAAAGTGGGGACCAAAGGGAGGTCCAAACTTTACCTGTACGACATCCACTTGTATATACCTAATCCTGAATTATACCCCACATCTTTAAAAAACCATACTGGAGAGAATCTCTACAAATGTGACAAATATGGTAAGCCTTTTGCTCTCATATACAATTTGCTGGACAATTTGCTCCAGTATGCTGGAGAATCCATACTGAGATGAAGCTATATAAATGAGAGGAATGCGATAAAGCCTTTAGCTCTCGTTCAATACTTGGTGGACATATGAGCATCTATATTTAGGGATTCCCTATAGATGCGCACAATGGGGTAAACTTTTTACCGTTATTCCAAGTTTTCTCAACATCATAGAATTTATATGCTACATTTTCCGTATCTGTAATGACTGGCAAATCATATATCAAGTTATAAACCATAGAGAGATGGTGAGAAATTTACAGATGTAAGGAGTATCATTATCTTTACTTAAACCACAGATCTTTTGCATGTACAAATGTAAGAAATGTCTAAAGGCATTAACCAGCTAAAACTTTGTTTGACGTTAGACTGTGCATTGGAGAGAATCCACAAATTTAAAGAATGTGGACTGGCCTTTGTTCAAAATATATGCCATTGGAAACACTATGGTATTCAGACTGAAAACTTTACAGATGCAATTTATATGGAAACTCACTTACTGAAAAGTCAAGTTGAAATAAATATCAGATATTGAAAAAAAATTAAATCTTCAAATAAATTATTTTTAGTATTTAAAAGAATTATGCTACTGCACCAGCATTAATAAAGATATTTTAGTACATTTGCAGCAAAGTGAAATTGTTGTTTTAAATAGTCTAAAAAATAATATTGTATTTTGTCCTATTATTTGATTTTTAATTAGAATTACCTTCTTCACAGGTTGCACCACCATGTCCTGGAAGACATTCACAAATGTTAGGCTTAATACATTTTCCATGGTTTTTGCAATCAGGCTGACATATAGCTGTATAAAATAAAGCCCAGGTTTTAGAAATATCAATTATCAAATAAAGTTCATTATGCAAACGAATGAATGATGTTACCTACCAGTCTGGCAATGAGAACCAACGTAACCAGGTTTGCATTTGCATATGTTTGGGGCAACACATTCCCTGCTTTTACCACATGGGTGTCTACAAATGGCTGCAAAAATCAAGAGAAAGAAGGCTGATTGTTGATGCGTCACATGCATGTTATCCATAAATTTAGTTATAATAAAAGCAAAATTTTCTGAAATTTGAGCATTTTGATACCACTATTAAACAATAGCCACTACATTTATCCATAAAAATCTGCCCCCCTTTATTTTGTTTTACCATTAGCATGACGGAGGAAATGGTTAATAGGGTAAGAAGGAAGTACAAGATGCCGTAATGACTCCCATAACAGAACCCCATGTTGGAGAGAGCAGCTAACCATACACAGGATTACAGTCTTTTTTAGATAAACATTTTAACGAAATTTTATTTTATTTTATTTTATTTTTTGAGTTGGAGTCTCACTCTGTCGCCCAGACGGGAGCGGCCACTGCAGCCTCGACCTGCTGGACTCCGGTGATCCTTCTGCCTTAGCCTTCCGAGTAGCCGGAATTACAGGCGCGCGCTACCACGCCCAGCTAATTTTTTGATTTATTGTAGAGATGAGGTCTTGCCAAGTTGCCCAGGCGGGTCTCGAACCCACAGGCTTAGGCATTCCACTCACCTCAGCCTCCCAAAGGCATGGGGTTACGGGCTGAGCCACCGAGCCCAGCTTAATGAAATTTTAGATACCAATCAGCTAAATATCAGTGAATGGCGGGGATAATCAGAATTTCAAAGAGCAGGATGCCACAAATACATCACATGCTAATAGGCTCATATTTCTTAAGTTTCTCTAACTACCTGGTATAGTCTATTTGGCATTTAACATGTTCTGAGGCCATGGAAATACATGAGGTTGTTTTGTTTCAGTTACTAATAATAACGACTTTTATATTAAAAATATGTAGGTGTTGAGGGTTATTATTATTTCTACCAAAAAAAAAAAAAAGAAAGAAAAAAAGTTCCTCTAGGTCCTCTACGTTCTAGGTACTGAGAACACAGAAATACTCTGAGAGCTCTTCTGATTAAGTTTGGTCTCAAGCAAAACAGTAACAAAACAACAAAAAGCTTCTACATTGTCAAAGCCAAAAGATTGATTTGCGTTAGAGAAAACAATAATAATAATTGTGAAAAACATATAAACAATACATTTAAAATTAGCCGGGCTCGGTGGCTCAGCCTGTAACCTCGCGCCTTTGGAAGGCTGAGGTGAGTGGATTGCCTGAGCCCACGGGTTCGAGACACGCCTGGGCAACTTGGCAAGACTTCATCTCTACAATAAATCAAAAAATCAGCCGTGCGTGGTAGTGCATGCCTGTAATTCCGGCTACTTGGAAGACTGAGGCGGAAGGATGGCCAGAGCCCAGCGAGTCGAGGCTGCGGTGGCCGGGAGCGGCCACCGCACTCCAGTCTGGGCCAGAGAGTGAAACTCCAACTCAAAAAAAAAAAAAAAAAACATTAAAATGATATACAGCTTGCTTTAATCCTAAAAGAGTTGGCAGAGTTACAGAGAAACCTAGTTTATGCAAATAAGAAAATATGCCAGAATGAGTAATCTGAAGAGCTAAATATCCACTATGAGCTGAAAAGAGCCCAGACCGAAATGTTAATCAGATCTACATTAGCATCTTTGTTTTATCCCCTTAGCTGCTTAATGCTAGGAAAGTCAGCACTCCAAAGCTCTGCTTTGTGTGTAAAATTGCAAAAATAACACCTGATATGTGGAGTTCTTGTGAATTGTATGACATAACTGATACAGAATGTTTCTACAGACCCTGGAACACATAGATATTCAAATATATATTATCCAGTTATAATTCTAAATAATTTTAACACTGTTTTGATAAATAACTCAGAAAACCCACTTTCATTTTTGCAAAATGTGATAAGAATACAGTTTACACAAATAATAAGTCAAGTAAAAGGAAATAAATGAACTAAAAAACATAAATTAGTAAATAGAAAAGCATGTCTTCTTAATTCCTTAAACTCGAACCAAGTAGTTTTCTTTGTATCTTCAGAAGAGTTTCATCCTACCTCTGCAATGGATACCATCTCCATAGTACCCAAGAGGACAACGTCCACATTTGAAGTGGCCTTCTGAAGTTGGCACACAGGAAACACCAGGATAACAAGGTGATTCATCACAAGTTGATGTTTTGGCAAACTTTTCTGGCAAAAGAGTTATTGCTTTGGTAACAGATGATGCAAAGACATCTTCATATTGTGTGTAATCTTGGGAAGACCTATTAATTTGCAAATTATACTCTCCTTTCTCTGTTTGGATGGTGTTCTGGGTAAGAGTCTTCAGTTCTCCATGGGTGCTGTTTGGGTTAATGCTTAAGAAACTACTGTTCTTCACAGGAGCTTCCAACTCATCCAGACTGAGGGTTGTACTGAGAGTATGATCCATTTGTTTAAAACCCAACATCTGATGGGAAATAGGCTTCACTGATTCATCCATTTGAGTGGTAACTGATTTTTAGTGACAAGTGGGAGATGTTTGTTCTGTTCAGGAACTTTTTTGGTAGTATCAGGATTAGAGGTAAAGTTTGTACCAATTAGTGACTGCTCTGTTGATGGTGGCTGAAAATGTGTGTCTAAACAATCAAAAAAGAAATAGAAATGTTAGACAAGAGCATGTATTAATATTCTGCTCTACCCACAATACTTGGCATTAAGTAACTCATTCCTTCATTTGGTGTCTACAATATGTCTATACTATACCAAGAGCTGTACAGTAACAAGAAGTCATGATGCTGTTCCTGCGTTCAAGGAACTTATAATCTATTTGGGTACACAAGATAATACAGGAAGCTAAATGGTATAAAACTTGAAAAACAATAATTAATAATTTTATTAAGATTTTGAAATGGCCAGCATTTATTGATCACCTAATATTCATTAACCTCAAAAAAAAGGTATAACCCCTGTTTTTGATCAAATCATAGCATTGTCAAGGATACAGACACATGAGCAGCTCATGGCAACCTCTGATAACTATGAAATGACAACCATGAAATGAAACTTAGAGGAACACAGGAAAGTGAGTAAATAATTTTTCTAGAAAGAAGATAGGAACTAAGTGCTTAAAAGAAAATTAGTAAATAACATAAATGCTATTTTATATGAGAGGCAAAGAACTATGGCTCTAATCATTTTACTGATGTAATAAAATGAGATTTTATTTGTCAACTGGAAATTAAAACTTTTTTATGTCTTTTGGAAAGATCATCATTTATTTCTTCCTTTCAAGATACTTTATTCTTTTATAACACGTTTCTATTTCATTGGCACGGAAAAATCTAACAAATTTTACAACGTGGGCACATTTGAAGTAGTGACTAGACACATTTCCCTTTTTATAGTTTATATTGCTAATTTAGGGTTTGATTTTTTTTTTTTTTTGAGTTGGAGTCTCACTCTGTCACCCAGACTGGAGTGCAGTGGCAGCTCCCGGCCACCGCAGCCTTGACCTGCTGGGCTCCGGCGGTCCTTCCGCCTCAGCCTTCCGAGTAGCCAGAATTACAGGCATGCGCTACCACGCCCGAAT